GTGTCTACAATAAAGCAGTAGATTCTGCTGGAAGAATCTACTTTTGCTTTGGAGCAAAAAAATCAATATACGTGTCCTGTGGCACCTTAAAGAGTTACAAATGTATTGTGGCATGAGTTTCATAAGCAAGCACCTAGCTCATTTCACATAGACTACGACAGCTGCTAACCTATTGTGAAGGTTAAGTGTAAATATACCCCAGAGCCCTAAAGAATAGATTGCACCTGTCGGTGAGGGACATTCAAGGGACTGGATCTTCTTTTTGTAGACTGACAGTTCTTTAAATTCAAACTGAATAGAGCAGTGTGTGGGAGGAACTGCAGCCCAGTGGTAGATGACTTGCTCTGCATGCAGAGGGTCCCAGGGTCTGTCTGCGGTTTCTCTTCATAAAGGGTCTTGTGTCCCCCTCAAAAGGCACTGGTGTTGCGGTATAGCAGGAAAAGGGGCATAGCAGACCTTTGAATTGTTTCCAGTTGTGGCAGAAGACATTGACTACGATGCTCCTTCTGCACAAGGAATTTTGTTCTTCCCCCTGCTGGAACCTCAGGGTATGTTTCACTACTGGCATCCCCACCATTTTTGGTTTTGTTTTTCAGGGAAATATGGAAGGAATGAAGAGAAAGAGGAGGGTGTCTTGATGTGAGGCAGGACTGAGCTCTTTTGCATGTATTCCTTTCCTAGAGAAAGAAATTTCAGCAGGGGCTCCCTCCATGACAAATGACACCTGCCAAAATCACTTTCTTTCAAGGTCACCAGAGAAAGAGGAGGGGGAGACACATACAGTAAAGCAATCAATAATGGGTCCTGTGTTGCAGCTTTGAGTCTGTCTCATTCACAAGGCAGTGGCCTTGACTTTCCAAGCAGCCCTGTTGCCCCTGCCTTTGGTTCCAGAATGCCTCAGGGGTTCCAGTTTGGTGTAGTGGTTTAGAGCGGCGGACTCTAAGCTGGAGAACTGGGTTTGATTCCCCACTCCTCCTTGACATGAAGCCAGCTGGATGACCTTGGGCCAGTCACAGTTCTCTCAGAGCTCTCTCAGTCCCACCTACCTCATAAGGTGTCTGTTGTGGGGAGAGGAAGGGAAGGCAATTGTAAGCTGCTCCAAGACCCCTTCAGGTAGTGAAGAGCGGGGTATAAAAACCAACTCTTCTTCTTCTTCTTCATTGCAGGAGGCCTCAGCTTATGGGTTCTCTCTGCAGCACAGAGGGTTTGCCCTCAGGCATTCACAGGACTTTCTCTTGGGTGATATTATCCTACATTCAGATATTTTATGGTGGAGATCAATGGTGGCAAGTGAGCATGTACAGGATACTGACAAAAGATTTAGTGGTGGCGCAGGAGAACTTCCTTTGGAATGTGTCTAGGCAAGACAGAAACAGAGGTACTGTCTGCTCCTGAGGGAAGCCCTTTTCCTCAGTTCAACATGTATGAGGTCAGGTTGAAGGTATTCAGTAGTGAGGGAAAAGGCATTCTATACATATTCAGATGCCAAGTCTGTATTATAAAAATATATTAGTTTGTTTCCTTGAAGAAGGGTCATGATGACCACCATTGGTGACAAAAAAAAAAATCAAGGTGCTGGTTTTGACTTACAAAGCTCAAAATAGTCCCAACCAGGCTATTTTTTCTGTTTTCAGAAAATATCAGTTGGCAACTGGAGACAGAGCCTTCTCTGTGGTAACACCATGCCTGCAGAACTCCTTCCCAGGGATTTCCAGTTGGCACCCTACACAAAATTCAGACAACAAACTGAAATTAAAAAATTTTCTTGGGCCTTTGTGTAATCCTCATTATTAATGAGTATTAATTACTTGTTATTATTGAGTATTATTATTATTATCATCATCATTATCATTATTATTATTGTTGTTGTTGTTGTTGTTGTTGTTGTTGTTGTTGAGAGTCGGACTCGACTGTGCGACTGAACGACAACAAATTATTGAGTAATGTTCACTACGACTGTTGCTGTCATTTTTCTTAATATTTGTGTTCATTTTTGATAGCTATAATTTTGTAAGCCACTCTATTCACGTATTTTAATAGATAAATAGTGCTAAGTGAATTTTCAGTGGGGGACAGGACAACAACAGTCCCTTTAAGCATCCCCCCCCCTGCTAACATTATGCATGCTTACTTGAGAGTAGTTCCCTCTGAATTCTGTGGGACTTGTTTGAAACCAAGCACTCTTAGTAAAAAGCTGTAAATAATAGTTTAGCCAGCATGTGCCAACCTGAGATCAGCTCCAAGCTGATAAATGAAACAAGAATCAATGGCACCTTGAAGACTAACAATATTTATTTCAATATGAGCTTATCTGAGTCACGTATCTCTTCTTCAGTGAGGTGTGACTCATGAAAGTTCAAACTAAAATAAATGTTGTTAGTCTTTAAGGTGCCAGTGGATTTTTGTTTTATTTTGCGACAGCAGATTAACACTGGTCCATCTGATGAAGAGTTCTGCAAAACTCAAAAGCATGCACAGTGTGTTGTGTTATTTTTAGTCAGTCTTATGATATGGCATGGCTTTTCTTATGTTACAGAATACACACGTTCTCATATATGAGTATGAACCTGATGTTCAAAAATGGAATGTGGGAAACTGACATTAATCGGGGTTAACAGCTTTACAGAATGCTTTTAACCTCACTTTTGATCTCAGAAACAGAGATCAGAAATGTGAAGAACTTGAGGGGGGGGGGTCCTTTTTCAGAAATGTATGTAGGTGGCTCCTGATCTGGGACACTCCCTTGATTCCTGGCAGTCCTGCGGCATTTCCACACGCACTGTGGTTCCTGGGATCCTGTGGCTCCTCTTATATTGATTCTGAACCCAGCAGCAGTTTTCTGCAAATTGTGAGCCAACAGAGAACTTGGTTACCGAAGCTCAATGAGGGGGGCATGGCAGTTTTCTATTCCGCCTGCTGGGTTTTGTTGCTAACATAAGGGTTTTTAAGGGAAAATGGGAACCTGAGCAAAGAGGTAGCATATTGTCATCTGCTCAAGTCTGTAATAGAAATACATTAAAATTGCCTTTATTTTTTGTTCTCCACCTAGTAAATTTACATAGGCAGCTATTTTTTTAAAAAAACTACCATGTAGGCGGAATATTTCCAATTGTAGCTATATTAAGAACTGCATTAGGCAAAGCCTTCTAGCTTTAGCTAGAAGCCCAAGTAAGGGAACCTGAGATGTCATCTTGGAAGAGTTTTAATAAAAAGTTGGACAAGTCCAAACCTGACATGATGGGCAAAGAAGGGGGGAAATCCACATGCATTTATTCATATACCCTACCATTCATCTGTAAATGGTATTATTTTACTGTAGATTGAGCTCACAGATGAGCAGAGCTCAATTTTGCTGTGTCCTCTTCTTGTTTTAAAAGCCTGGCTCTTTCCAATATTGGAGCTGGAATACGATAAGGAAATGCTTCAAACAACAAAGTGCAGAGAAGTAAGAAAGGGGGAAAGGCAGGTTTTAGCTGGTCTTTTTGTCCCCTGAACTGAAGGATTAGATCTTAACCCGCCAATAAATCAAATGCAGGGTATCAAAAAAAGTGTATCAAGAATGAGGTCTTAAGATCTGGTTATTAATCATTTTTTAACTTATTTTAAATGTCTGCACCAACTTTCTATGCCAGGCTTCCAAGGCAGCTTACAAAGTTAAGAACATTAAAACTACAACAAGAAAAAACAATAGTTATAGTAAACTCATCAGCATTCACAGCAATGAATTCAGAGTTAACAAACCTAGCCTTTATCTGCTACCTAAATTACAATACCATGTGGCAGTGGGGGGCCACCCACTGTGAAGGTCCTGTTCCTACTAACCATGATCCATTTGGCCTCTGTTTTTGTTTATTTATTTGTTAGTTAATTAATAAAGAAGCTGTTAATAATAAAACATGAGAATAAATTTAACCAAGGAATATACAACACAAACCCCAGCAATGCCAATACAGTCTAACCTATGTGTTGGGGGTGGGAGGACAATCAACCAAAGGCTTAACTGAACATTCTTTTCTGGCTTCCATCTGAAACTGAGTAGGTGTCATGTGAATGGCTGCATGGAGGGCATTCCATAGTTGGGATTGGCACTATCAAGAAGGGCCCATTGCTTTTGGCCCCCCATCTTAGTTCAGAATCTGAGGACAGATTGAGCACAGGGTCTTCAGCAGTGTTCCCTGTAAGCTGCGGAATCTTGTGAGCAAAAATTCTACTTTGTGAGCTCCTGGCATTAAAACTGTGAGCAGGTGATCTGGCTGCGGCATAAATTAGTTTGCTCTGGAGCCATCCTTTCTAAGCGAAGACACAAATCTGTGAGCTGGAGGCTAAAAATCTGTGAGCTGGCTCACACTAACTCAGTTTAGAGGGAACACTGGTCTTCAATATGAATCAAAGTCATTTTAGAAAATGATACAAGGACAAGCCGGACAGCTACCCACTAGCCTGGAGGAAAATGTCATGTTGCTTTAACAGAGGCTTAATAGGATATTATTTTTACCACCATGCACTCCCCATTTCCACACATTAAACCTTTGTTAAAGATACGGGACATTTTTCTCCATGGTTGTTGGCAAACCTAGCAAGTGATCTTTGGTAGGTCGGGACCATGAGGAACAAGGTTTTAACTTCTGCTTTAAAAATGAGCAGTTATCATGAACACCTCCGTGCAGACCAAACACTTTCTGAGTCTCCACGTAATCAATGAATCCTCAAGCAGTGAGGATGGACGAGAGTAGCACGGAGTATAGCAAATGGAGGTGGCAACACCAGAATTCTCTGGGTAAGGTTCAGCAAAATCGCTCTCCATGTGGATTGTCTCTCCCACCCCATTTTTTACACAATCTTCCACAAACAGGACCTTTTGGATGTACCTTATTTTCACTGGCAGGGTCCTAGATTGTGTTGCCATTCCCTCTTGCTCATCTGACTTGTCTTTCTTCCATGCAGGTAGCAGCTGACCCAAAGACTCCCACCAGCAACACTGGATGAGAATTCTGCTGTTGCCTAGAGCTCAATAACTCAGTTGGCAGTATGGATTTTGTGATGAAGCAGGCCCTAGGGGGTAAGCCTTGTCTTTGCATTAATACCATTCTCTTTTAACCCTCTTCCATCCCTTCTTTCATGCTCCAACCTCAGATTTAGGATTGTTAACTTCTCAGTGGGGCCTGGAGTTCTCCCAGAATTGCAGCTGATTTCCAGAGTCTAGGGGAAATCTAGGGGAGTCTAAGGGAAAGGTGAATTCCCTCCAAAACCTTCCTTCCCCAGGCACCCTCACCAAATCTTCAGGAATTTTTTGAGAGTTGAAGGTGGTTTGAAAGAGGCATCGCTACATGTGGTGTCGATATTCTCTTGTGTCTCTTTTACATCCAGTAATCAGGTTTTGCAGGTTATTGTTTCAAAACCCTGTTTGATCCTAGAAGACAGTCAGCTGAAAGCAAGTTGTATAGATATCGCAGAAAGCCACTTTCAACTGTCTCCAAAGGTGTTGCCTGTCACCCACTGCTGGTAGGCAGCCATCCCCCAGAGTTTGTTCCCTCTCGCTGACTGGGGACACAAAAGCCAGAGAGAGATGAATACTGGGTTCTGTCTCTGTAGCCCGGTGCAGTAACCATTTAGTGAATGTATTAGCCCCCAAATTAGCAAAACGTATTGGGTAAGGTCAAGGTTTTAAAATGGGCCTTTTAGCCTTACGTACTAAATCGGTAATGCCAAAAGACTCATGTAGAGTCACATTATACTACACCTCACCATTCATTAGAATCGGACATTTGATCAGTCAGTCATATTGCATATGTTAACAGAGGCTTGATGCCAGTTATTTTTTAAAAAAAACAAACTTTAATTTGGGTCATTATAAAGCAATGAAATAATAAGCAGCCAGTTTATATTCAGTTGTTCCAATCTGGTTTACCAGTATTACCTGTATAGTTGAAGAAATGTTGTTGGCATTGTTAATTTGCTAATTTCTTTGTTATTCCATGTTATAGTTTAAATAAAATTAAAATTAAAAAAATCCACTAAATTGGGATGGCTTTATACCTTAGAACGCCCTCATGGATCACTGCCTTGACGTGGTGAGGGGGCTTGCGTGGTTCAATGAGGCTGTGGGCTATGCCGTGGAGGGCCACCCAGGACGGACAGGCCACAGCAGAGAACTCAGACCAAGTATGATCCACTGGAGAAGAAAATGGCAACCCACTCCAGTATCTTTGCCAAGAAAACCCCATGGACAAGTATCAAAAGGCTAAAAAATATGACGCTGGAAGATGAGCCCCTCAGGTCGGAAGGTGTCCAATATGCTACTGGGGAAGAGCAGAGGGCAAGTACAAGTAACCCCAGAAAGAGTGAAGCGGCTTGGCCAAAGCCGAAAGGACGCTCAGTTGTGGATGTGGCTGATGGTGAAAGGAAAGTCCGATGCTGCAAAGAACAATACTGCATAGGAACCTGGAATGTAAGATCTATGAATCAAGGTAAGCTTGATGTGTTCAAAAATGAGATGGCAAGACTGAACATCGATATCTTAGGAATCAGTGAACTAAAGTGGACAGGAATGGGCGAATTTAACTCAGAAGACCATTATATCTACTACTGTGGCCAGGAATCTCGTAGAAAAAATGGTGAGGCCTTTATAGTCAACAAGAGGGGGCAAAAGTCAGTACTGGGATACAATCTCAAAAATGACAGAATGATTTCAGTCCGATTCCAAGACAAACCATTCAATATCACAGTAATCCAAGTCATGCCCCAACCACTGATGCAGAAGAGGCTGAAGTGGACCGGTTCTATGAAGACCTACAACACCTCCTAGAACTAACACCAAAAAATGATGTCCTCATCATCATAGGGGACTGGAATGCTAAAGTAGGAAGTCAAAAGGTAACCGGAATAACAGACAAGTTTGGCCTTGGAAAGCAAAATGAAGCAGGGCAAAGGTTAACAGAGTTTTGTCAAGAGAACACACTGGTCATAGCGAACACCCTTTTCCAACAACCTAAGAGACGACTCTACACATGGACATCACCAGATGGGCAACACCGAAATCAGATTGACTATATAATTTGCAGTCAAAGATGGAGAAGCTCTATTCAGTCAGTAAAAACAAGACCTGGAGCTGACTGTGGTTCAGATCATGAGCTACTCATTGCAAAATTCAGACTTAAACTGAAGAAAATTGGGAAAACCACGAGGCCATTCAGGTTTGACCTAGATCGCATCCCTGATGAATATACAGTAGAGGTGAAGAATAGATTCAAGGGTCTGGATTTGATAGATAGAGTGCCTGAAGAACTATGGACAGAGGTTCGTGACATCGTACAGGAGGCAGCAATCACCACCATACCAAAGAAAAAGAAATGCAAGAAAGCAAAATGGCTTTCTGATGAGGCTTTACAAATAGCAGAGGAAAGAAGGAAAGCGAAAGGCAAAGGCGAAAAGGAAAGATTTACCCAACTGAACGCAGATTTCCAGAGAACAGCAAGGAGAGATAAGGAGGCCTTCCTGAATGAACAGTGCAAAGTAATAGAAGAAAACAATAGAATGGGAAGGACTAGAGATCTCTTCAAGAAAATTGGAGAAATCAAGGGAGCGTTCCATGCAAAGCTGGCCATGATAAAGGACAAAAACGGTAGGGACCTAACAGAAGCAGAAGAGATTAGGAAAAGATGGCAAGAATACACAGAAGAACTATACAAGAAAGACCTCGATGTCCTTGACAACCACGACGGTATAATCACTGACCTCGAGCCAGACATCCTGGAATGTGAAGTTAAATGGGCCTTAGAAAGCATTACTAACAACAAAGCTAGTGGAGGTGATGGTATCCCAGCTGAGCTATTCAAAGTCTTAGAAGAGGATGCTGTTAAAGTTCTGCACTCCATTTGCCAGCAAATTTGGAAAACGCAACAGTGGCCACAGGATTGGAAAAGATCAGTATACATTCCAATCCCAAAGAAGGGCAATGCCAAGGAATGTTCAAACTATCGCACAATTGCACTCATATCACACGCTAGCAAGGTCATGCTCAAGATCCTACAAGCTAGGCTTCAACAGTACGTGGATAGAGAACTACCAGAAGTACAAGCTGGGTTTCGAAGAGGTAGAGGAACGAGAGATCATATTGCCAACATTCGCTGGATTATGGAGAAAGCAAGAGAGTACCAGAAAAATATCTACTTCTGCTTCATTGACTATGCTAAAGCCTTTGACTGTGTGGATCACAACAAACTATGGCAGGTCCTTAAAGAGATGGGAGTACCAGACCACCTCACATGTCTCTTGAGAAACCTGTATAAGGGCCAAGAAGCGACAGTTAGAACCGGATACGGAACAACTGATTGGTTCAGCATAGGAAAAGGAGTACGACAAGGATGTATACTGTCACCTTGCTTATTTAATATATATGCAGAGTACATCATGCGAAATGCTGGCCTGGATGAATCACAAGCGGGAATTAAGATTGCTGGGGAAAAGATCAACAACCTCAGATATGCAGATGATACCACTCTAATGGCTGAAAGTGAAAAGGATCTAAAGAGCCTCTTGCTCAGAGTAAAAGAGGAGAGCGCAAAAGTGGGCTTGAAGCTCAACATCAAAAAAACTAAGATCATGGCATCCCGCCTCATCACTCCTTGGCAAATAGAAGGGGAAGTCGTGGAAGTAGTGACAGACTTCACATTCCTGGGATCCCAGATCACTGCAGACTGTGACAGCAGCCATGAAATTAAAGGACGCCTGCTCCTTGGGAGGAAAGCGATGGCGAACCTAAACAGCATGATAAAAAGTAGAGACATCACCCTGCCAACAAAAGTCCGCATGGTCAAAGCAATGGTATTCCCAGTAGTTATGTATGGCTGCAAGAGTTGGCCTATAAGGAAGGCCGAGCGCTGAAGAATAGATTCTTTTGAACTATGGTGCTGGAGAAGACTCTTGAGAGTCCCTTGGACTGCAAGAAGATCAAATCAGTCAATCCTAAAAGAAATCAACCCTGACTGTTCCCTGGAAGGCCAGATAATGAAACTGAAGCTCAAATACTTTGGCCACCAAATGAGAAGGGAGCACTCACTGGAGAAGACCCTGATGCTGGGAAAGATTGAAGGTCAAAGAAGACGGGGATGGCAAAGGATGAGATTTTTAGACAGTGTCATAGATGCAGCGAACATGAAATTGAGCAAACTTCAGAGGATGGCGGAAGACAGGAAGGCCTGGCGTGATCTGGTCCATGGGGTCGCGAAGAGTCAGACTCAACTGTGCGACTGAACAACAACAACAAATACCTTAGAAGGAACAATTCAGGTACAGTGAATCTTATCAAAGGGTGCAGGTGAGACTAGATGTCTGCAAAGATTTCTTTTTGGCCTGTGATTCATTCTCTGTAGACACCAAAAAAGGGGCAATAGAAAAGAGTAAGACTCACAAAAGCTCATACCCTACCACACATTTTTGTAAGTGTAAGGGTAGTGGAGATAAATGTTTGCACAGCAACCAACCAGTCAAAGCTTTCTTGGGATGGAGAGACTACAGTTCCCACTGTACATTCTTAAATAGATGATATTCACAGAAATCTTGCCTTAAAGATCAAGAAACATTGCTAATGAATATTTAGAAGCTTGGAGGCTGCCAGCAGTCCTTTTTAAAGGAGCAAGCGATGTGAGTGCTGCTTCAATCTCCATTCTCCATGGCTCTCCTTCATCCCCTCAAGAAGGGGCACCCATCCCTCCTGGGCAGTCATTAAGACTCAGTGACAGCAGTATCAGCATGCTTGCTATTTTCTTTGCCACAGCTAGCGTTTCCAGCTCTGGGTGGGGAAACACCTGGAGAGGGTGGGGTTTGGGGAGGGGAGGGAGCTCCCTAGGGTACAGTGCCATAGATTCCACCCTCCAAAGTGGCCACTTTCTCCAAGAGAACTGATCTCTGTCATCTCTAGACCAATTGTAATAAGGGAAGGGCTCCAGGCCCCACCTGGAGGTTGGCAACCCTAGCTACAATGTGTCCTCCACACTTCTGCTATCACAGCACACTTCTTCTCCACTATATTCCTGTGTACTAAAAAGCTCCTCCAGACAT